CTTTCAGATGATGTAACTATTTTTTTTCCCGAAGTCTTATTTTATAAGAAGTATATGGTAACTTTGAAATGTAGGTTGCTCCCCACTGTCATTATAGTATGCAAATTTCCTTGGAACTTTTGTGCCTTCCAAATTTTTTTGCATTTATCAGCCTTTTCCAGCTTCATTTCTTTTGGGTTGAATTAACACGTATCCATCATCTCCAGCCAGCAAATCCATTTGATTTTGTGGTACCCAAGTCAACTAAGGATGCTTTACACATTTCTTGGCTATGGAAAGGAAGGCTATGTTTCTTGAAGAAAAAGCTGGGCAGTATTTTGCTTGCACTGCACTTTTGTCTATTCACTTCCACAGCCAAATCCACTTTAAAAAAGGAAACAGTAAAGACAGCCTTGTGTACTATTTTTTGCTCAGAAATGGGTATGTTATTAGCCAGGAAATGGATGCTGTACGCTCCACTAGTACCTGGAGTTTATGTAGCACCAGGAAAAGCGCAGTTCTTCCTTGCACCTGTGACCCATCAGCTATGTGGCTGTTTTATGGGTTGCCATATGGATCCTCTATTTTGAAATTGAATTGTTCTAGTAACCAGCTGTCCACATTCCCTTCTTGCCGAGTCGTTGCCCAGTTCCAGGTGTTCATGGTTGAAAAATAATTCAGGATGGAAAAATAATTTCCATCCTGGACTTTCCCATGTGTTTTAAGGAAGTTTAAAATGTGACCGTCCCCCCATTGTTTGAAATTTACTGTTTCTGTGCTAGTTCTGGGTCTGTTTGGGAACTTAAGCCTAGCTCATCTACCTTAAGGATCTACATAGATACCATGATGAGAGCAAACCTTTTCAAACCTAAGATTATCATATCAATAAACCATATGGCCATAAATCTCACAGTAAATAATATTGAAGAACAGCATACCAGGTTTGAGATCATGCCTGCAGTCCAGATAATTTTATGTTAGTATGGTGGCTTGAGTTGGGATAAAGTGAGGAGAAGCAGTGACCTACAAGTAAATATTTGATAGCAGAAGGCACACAATGGATGTATGAGCTCTCTACATGGGGCTCCCCTTGAGGAGCACCCGGAGGCTCCAACTGGTCCAGAATGTGGCCGCGCAGGTAATTACAGGAGCTGCATGGCACTCCCGCATAACACCGCTCCTGCGCGAGCTGCACTGGCTCCCAGTGGTCTTCTGGGTGCGCTTCAAGGTGTTGGTTACCACCTTTAAAGCACTTCATGGCATAGGACCTAGTTATCTTCGAGACCGCCTTCTGCCACCGACGACCTCTCATCGACCCGTGCGCTCCCACAGAGAGGGCCTCCTCGGGGTGCCATCAGCCAAGCAATGCAGGCTGGTGACCCCCAGGGGGAGGGTCTTCTCTGTGGGGGCTCCCACCCTCTGGAATCAACTGCCCCCAGAGATAAGGAAAATCCAAGACCTCCGTGCCTTCCGCCGTTCCCTTAAAACTTTCCTTTTTCAACAAGCCGGGCTGGCCTAACAAATCCTTTTAAATGATTTTAAATTCATTTGTCTTTTTAAATTCTGAACCAAATTGAGATATTTTCTTTTAATCTGTTCTTAATTTATGTATTATGTATTTATGTGTTTTTACTTGGCTGTACACCACCCTGAGTCCCTAGGGAGAAGGGCGGTTTATAAATTTGAAGTAAAATAAAAAAATAAATAAAATAAAAGAGGTTATGATTGGAAAGGTGTCGAATATGCCTGACATTGAGCTATACATGTGAACCACTGCCAGCTTTTGATTTTTCAAATGTATTTCAGGTTTCCTGCTTTTATTAAGGAGGAATCGTGTTACAGTAAACTCTACCATCCCCTGGAGACCATTTAAGCTCACATTGACTGCTTCAGTGACTCCATCCAGCCACCTCATTCTCTGTAGTACCATTCTTCTTTTACCCTCAATCTTTCCCAGCATTAGGCTCTTCTCCAGTGAGTCCTTCCTTCTCATTAGGTGGTCAAAGTATTTCAGTTTCATCTTCAGGATCTGGCCTTCTAAAGAGCAGTCAGGGTTGATCTCCTTTAGGACTGACCGGTTTGTTCACCTTGCAATCCAAGGGACTCCCAGGAGTCTTCTCCAACACCATAGTTCAAAGGCCTCAATTCTTTGATGCTCAGCCTTCCTTATGGTCCAACTTTCACAACCATACATTGCAACTGGGAAAACTATAGCCTTGACTATATGCACTTTTGTTGGCAAAGTTTTTACTTTTTCGTGTGCTGTCTAACTTTGCCATAGCTTTCCTCCCCAGGAGCAAGCATCTTTTAATTTCTTGGCTGTAGTCCCCATGTGCGGTGATCTTTGAGCTCAGGAAAATGATCTTAGTTTTCTTAATGTTGAGTTTCAAGCCAACTTTTGCACTCTCCTTCTTCACCCACATCAGAAGGCTCTTTAGTTCCTCTTCATTTTCTGCCATTAGAGTGCCATCTGCATATCTGAGGTTGTTGATATTTCTCCTGGCAATCTTAATTCCAACTTTTGATTCATCTAGTCCCACCTTTCTCATGATGTGCTCTGCATATAAGTTAAATAGGCAGGGTGACAGTATACAGCCTTGCTAGACTCCTTTTTCATTTTTGAACCAATCAGTGGTTCCGTGTCCAGTTCTTACTGTTGCTTCTTGACCCACATATAGGTTTTCTTAAGAAACAAATAAGATGGTCTGGTACTCCCATCTCTTTGAGAACATGCCACAATTTGTTGTGATCCACACAGTCAAAGGCTTTAGCATATGAAGCAGAAGTAGATGTTTTTCTGGAACTTCCTAGCTTTCTCCATGATCCAGTATATGTTGGCAATTTGATCTCTAGCTCCTCTGCCTCTTCGAAATCCTGCCTACACTTCTGGTAATTCTCGGTCCACATACTGCTGGAGCTTAGCTTGTAGGAATTCTGCATTTCATTGGGTGCATCTTTCTCTTTCTCCCTTGCCTTTTGCTTCCCTTCTTTCCTCAGCTTATTTGTAAGGCTTCCTCAGACAGCCATTTTGCTTTCTTGCATTTCTTTTTCTTTGGGATGGTTTTAGTTGCTATCTCTTGTACAATGTTGTGAACCTCCATCCATAGTTTCATGGTGACCTCCATGAAATGAGACAGACATGCTTTGCACACACCCCTCCCACCTCTGTTCTCCCAGGTGCCCCTGTTAAAATGAACATGCAGGTTAAGAGGAGCATGGAGTGGCTTCATGGGTGGGGGAGTTCCTGGGATGCTTGTCATCCAGCTGGGACCATAAAGGAGGCAGACAAAGAGCAAAAGGTTTGCGAAGCCAAAAGCAGCCCAGTAGGAAGGAAGAGCTCAGCTAGCTTAGGGCCTAGAACAGTTATGGCGTACATTTTCGGCACCGAGTGCCAAAAAGAGAGCACACGGGTGCGTGCGTGGCACCAAGTGCCGAAAAAAAAATATTACCCTTATATTCTCATCAGGGCTGTGACCAGGCAGAGGAGCTGCTCAGGGGACATGCGCACGCCAGATAAGGTACTTCTGGTTTCCGGTGCGCACATGCTTACAAGCCAGCAAGTCGTCTCCTTACCACCACGCATGCGCACGTGCTGATTAGCTGGCCGGTGTGCATGCTCATGCTAGAAAACAGAAGACCAGTTATTCTGGTTTCCAGCACTGCCACACGCACAAAGGCCAGCTGATAGCCACATGCGCATACACGCCAGAAACCCAGAAGAGGAATGGGCGACACCACGCATGCTAGGCAACATGGCTCCACATGCCACTTCGGGCACACATGCCATAGGTTCACCATCACGGGCCTAGAGTTATGTTCCAATGCCAGAGAGGCTTCCAACGAAGCCTCTGTGCTTGGCTGATGATGAAGCCACCCTTGTCGGCTGGGCCTCTGCCCCAATCAGCTGGTTATTAGGAGATTGCAAACTTCTCCTGGCTCTTGCTAGGCTTTGGGGAAGTCAGCCACCTGCAAGTAAAGGCAGCAGCTTCGCAAAACCCTTTTCCTTGCTTGACCTTCCCTTTTCCTCCTCCTCCCAGAAACCTCCATTTCTTCAATTAAAAAACAACAACAAAAGGACAGACTTTTGTTCATTCCTCCCCCTCCCCCTCCCCCTCCCAAACTAAACTCTCCATCTCTGCTTCCAGTCCTGATTCTTTTCAACCCCACTTCACTCTAATGTTCTCACCCTGACTAGGTGGCTCAGTGGCTAAGACACTGAGCTTGTTGATCAGAAAGGTCAGCAGTTCGGCGGTTCGAATCCCTAGTACAGGTCTCCTGCGTGAGCAGGGGGTTGGACTAGATGACCTCCAAGGTCCCTTCCAACTCTGTTACTGTTACCTGTTGCTTGCTAAATGTATTGCATGCCCGGAAAGAGGGTGACAAAATCTGTAAGTTACTTACCTTGATGAGTGACTGCCAGGATAGGGACAGAGCAAAGGAAGGAAGGAAGGAAGCAAGCAACGAATACCTTTCTGCAGCTTGTTTGCCTTGAGCAGCTGATTGAAAAACTCAGCTCTAAAGAAAAAAACATTACAAACATGCACCAAATGGCCAGGCAGAAGAGAACTATCTCTCTATATGGGTATATGGGTCCTAAAGACAGTCAGGCAAGCATCAAAAAGGTTGGAAAGTTTGCAGTCTCTCAATAGCCAGATGATCGGGGCAGAAAACTCTGAAGACACCCGCCATTTCTGCAAGGAACTGTCAGAGCCCTGAAAATGGTGGCTGCATCCTGGAGGAATGGGGAGCATTGTGGGGGGTCTCATCAGGGCAGGATGGGGGGGGGGGGTAAAGAGTGGGGGGGGGGGCGGCATTGGCCCTATGGTTGTAAGAGCAAATGACTGCAAGGGCACTTCAGCTGCCATAAATTTGAAATGGTTGTATGAAGCTTTTTTTTGTGGGGGGGGAAAGGTCATAACTTCAAACAGCTGTTAAGTGACTGTCGTATCTCAAGGACACTACTACTGTACTGCTGTACTACTGTACTACTTACTCATGAAATTTTTTGCCTTCTTTTTCAGTGACGAACTGAGATACTGACGTAAATAAAACTACAGCAGTATGTTCAGCGTAGACGACCTTCTGATTTCTCACGGATACAAGCAATCTAAAAATCCTACCAATTCATCTGAAGTTGCTGGAGATCAGCATGAAGATACTGGTAGGCGGTCTGATCAGGCAACCAGGAATGGTTTACCAATCCATCCTGGAGCCATACCCAAGACCAATAAAGCAAGAAGATACCAAAATGACAACGAGAATAATCCTGTCGGTCGAGGGAGGCCAAGGAACACCCACCAGGAATATTTCTCAGGTCCAGGCAACATGCAAGGAGAGTGAGTATTTTTTTTAATTTGCTCAGCTGTTTGTCAAACAATGTTGAAGCACAGACACCAGGAGACTTAATTGTGTTGAAAGCATCATAAGAGGAAGTAATGTGTACTTCAACAGGTTGAACGCACTACATTTATCACAGTGAGAAAAAGTGTGGCTGGGTGATGTGGGTCCCTATCTTTTTAATATTAATAATTTAGGCAAGGTTAATAAGCACTGTTATGTTTTTGCATGTATTTGGACAGTTCTCCAGATATCTTCAAGAAACTCTGAAGAAAAACACAGCCAATTTTGCAGTATTTTAACTGTTATGTTTGTAATCTTATTTGGACCACAGTTTGCAGCCTTTGTATGTCCTCTCCATTTTGCTCTGTATGTAGCCAAAATGTTTAATTAAATTTGAAAAAGAAAAAAAATATATGAAAAAGGCCTCAAGAATTTCCCAGATAGCTTCTCGGAATTGGTGAGTGTTCTTGCCTCGGCTGCAAAATTATTTTTTCAGCACTGTGAAAAGCTTTGAATGGTCTCTGCAGAAGGCAATTGGTAAGGGAGGTCTTACTTATACTTTCTTCTGATTACGGAATCACGAGAACTGCCTTGTGCAGTGACTATTCAAAGTTATGATGGTGCTGAAAAAATAACTTTGCAACCAAGGCATGCAGTTAGGACTTTCACAGCATCTGTCTCTGAGTCACATGTTTGCCATTACAGTCCTATGCCTGACCCATATTTTTCTTCCATATTTAGAGATTGTCTAAACAGGTGATCTCTTTAAACAATTTCTCCTGTGCCTGACTGTTTTCTCTGCCTCACCCCAGAATGGAGCAGTTGCAGAGGAAGGGATTACCAGAGAGTAAGCAGGCACACAATGAGGAATATGCCAAGCTATTTGTGTAGTATTGTGAAACATTAATTCCTTGTTAATTATTGCAGCGCTGGAATGAGCATTTCAAAGGGTATAAAAAAGGAAAGCCTAGTCATGGTCATTTCTCACTTAGCGACTTGTCCCAATTGTGGTTGCTAAACAAGGACTACCTCAATTATAAGGGCTTCCATATAATTATCTCAGTATCATTTTATTTTAGCTTCAGGATTTACAGGACCATAACTCCTCCATGAACTCAAGGAAGAAATCTTTTCTTTGTGGATTAGGATTTTTTTTCTTGTGAATTAGGATGGTCTTAAATTTCCAGAAAGAAGCAAAAACATGTTTGTTTACATGTAAAATAAATAATATAAAATCAAGTTGTGACTGGCTCCTAAATTGAGGTGTCAAAAGAAGCTCTAATCTTTTTATATGCTTTTAAGTCTACATTTTAGGCAATTTCTATTTTTTAATCATCTACCTTGAGCATCAATCAATAAAAGCTCCTGCTACCTTATCAGTTAAATTTAGTAGGTTTATTGTTGGGATGGGGGTGGGGAAGACTGTTTCAGAAATGTAAAAAGTTGACTTAAGAGAAGAAAACAAAAAATGCCCCAGAGACATATTAATATAGAAATCTACATGATGTTATTAAAAGTGGAAAGTTTCAAACTGAATTTTATTAAGGCAAATATAAGCCACTCCTGGAGATCCTGTTTAAGCCAGTGGCCTTGTCATCACTTTATAAAATGTGTTGCTGTAACTTGGTGCTTGCCTGCAGCTAGATTCAAACACACTTTTGAACTGAAAACAACCTACACCCAAAAGATTGCCCATTTGGAGAAATATTATGTGATTGTTCTATTAACTAATAACAGAACTAGCTACCTAATTAATAACAAAATTGTGGTTCATATTTGTTTTAAAAGACTAATGCAGAAAATGCAGATTACTCTCAGTCAGAGCCAAAAAGATTAGTCCTGACCTCTGCTTGCTTTCACTGCAATTTTTGTATGGTGGGGTGTTAAATGTGAAAAATATTTCATGCAAAATTGACCCAATTTAGAAAAGGTAGCTGCTCACAGTTTTGAAGAAAAACCTCATTTCAAATTGTTATAAGACATTTGCAGAGAACTTGCTTGATGTGTAATATATATTATGTCTGAGGAAATTATTGAATGAGTGATTCAATCGCACAATCGCAGTAAATTGGGAAGGGCGGCTGTTGAAAATTGATGGAAATATAAATGGCTGCAGCCACCCTGCTGGAATGTTTGGCTAACTTTAAAAAAATTAGCTGTTTACTTGGTAAATTTAATCCTTTGTTTCTGCTTGAAGGAGGAAGAGAACGTTTATGTTGTATGTTAAAAAAGGAGTTTGATACATGGAAAATGGGGGATCAGTATTTGTATTATATACTCAGGTACACACACATTTTCTTTATCTTCTGTAAAATATGACACACACGCATTCACATACAATATCACACATTCACATACAATATCTTTAACACTGACTTTATCAAAAATTGGCTTCATAGCCAATGCTAGGAAGATAACATGTGGAAGAGAATGGTGGGTTTGGGTTGGTTGGTTGGTTGGTTGGTTTCTTTGTTGCTTATTTTTGTTTTTAGAGGTGAAATTGTCTTAAATTTAAGATTTTAAATTTACATCTTCCTTCTAGGTAAATATGCAATATTATCTTGTTTGCCAGTATATACTCCAAAGTGAGAGGAGGAATTCTCTTCTAGTTTATACAAAATTTATTTCACGCTATCTGAGATTTTGGTTTTGTTGATTTCCTGCATTGCCTTAAAGTCCTGTTACAGATACTGTGAGGAAAACCTTTTTTTCAGGGGTCATTGGAAGGTCAAAGACTAAGAATTTAACTGCATACACCAAAAATACTGAATACTGTCATAATTCAGGGAATCTAACTGCACAGGTCCCATTTTGACATCCCACAGATCCCTTCTCATGCATCTCCATTTTTGCTAAAGTATTCTGACCTCTTTTTTTATTGTGTACCTTCAGTTTGCCAGAACTTAAAAATTGGGCACAGTTGCATGTCCCCAATTGATATTTTAAGATTGCAAAAGAGCATAAAGTTTACTGGATGGCAGGCTGTCCTGAAAAGAAGAATGTGTATAGTTAAAAGAATAATTTGTGTTTTAAAATCTGTTCCAGGTTCACAATTGTAACCCTTATTAATTTTAAGAAGCTATATCTGGGGGGGGGGGGGGAATACCTATGTGGTAGAATGTAACACAGCAGTTTCCTATCATGTATACATTATGCTGAAGAAAGAGAGGCATATTGATTACAAAATATAGTTACAATCCAAACTCTTTCGTGGTTTATTGTGAAAAGTTCTGTTTTTCAGAAATATGAGGAAAGTAAGTTGAGTGTCTCATGATTGTGGCTGGTTCAGATTCTTTACTAATTTAGATCCGGAGAAAAGAAAACATTTACAAAAATCTCTTCACTGGTACTTCCTTTCATTTGCAGGCTTTATGACCAATCACTAAGTAGGTCTTCGCCCTCCAAGAAAGAGAACGATTTTGCCTCCTGGAGAAGACAGTGCCAAGATTTCAGTGCTTATGATTATCCTGACAGAGTAGACAAGGAAATGAGAGGAATGGGTGCAGCCTGTGCCTTGTTTGGAGATGAAAACAAAGTTCATTGGGGGACTGAAGAAGGATTAGAGAATATGAGGAGTAACAAACAGGAGGCCATGAAACTTCCTGGTGACTACAGAAGGCAAAGTTTAAAGACAGATACCTGGAAACAACCAACTGTCTTTGGACGACGTGAGCCTGATACAGATAATAAAAAAAGGCCACTTCAAATTGTGTATTCAGGAAGGCAAAACATTGCAGCTTCCCATGTTAAGAATAAACCACAATCTTTCCCAATATTTATTTCGTCAGAAAATTCTAACTATGCTGAAATTCCTGCTGTAGCCAGCAGTAAACAGTATAAAGTAAAGCCTGAGCTGGAATCTTTGAAATACTTTGAACCAACAGCTAGGCCCAAGTATGGTAGACCCCTGAAGCCTCCTTCATATGAATTTCATCAGCAGAGTAGGGGGATTGTGGAAACCAATCCACCACAGGATGAACAGCAAACACGCAAAACCACTTTCTATGTGACCAAAGTTGAAGATCAAGATCCTACCTTAGGACCCCCATTGTACATACCTCCTCCATCTTACAAATCTGGTCAGCAAAGTAAGAATCAACATGTGCCCGAAGAAGTGCCTGACTATGATGAGTCCTTTGTCAAGGAAACACAAGTTCTAGACCAGGGTATTTGTATTAGTTCTGGGTCTTCTGTTAATCAGCTACAAATGGAAGATGAAGAGCCAATTTTGTTTAGTGAAACACAGGTGAGGTGTCAGGAGAAACAACTGTCTTCTGTTCAATATATTCCTTTTGATGACCCTCGAATACGGCACATTAAAATAATACATCCAGCTGACCTTCATCAGATGGAGGATCAAGCAGAAGATGCAAATAACAGTAGTGTCTTCCATAAAAATTCTGTGGATAAGGAGCTCAGTAATTTGAATGTTGATGTACCAGACTCAATAAACATTGCTGTAAAATCCAACCAGGTCTCTGACAGAAGCAGATGGTTGGTGGAATCCAATGCAGATCAGGATAGTGGTGTCTTGTCCACCCAAAGAGGCTCTTATGACACAGGCATCAGTCTGAACGGTGCATATGCTAAAGCAAGGCCATCTGCTCAAAGCCCAGGTGCAACAGATCTCTCCACTGAGACTTTTACAAAAGTGAAAACCTTTGAACCTGGAATTGAGATTCAAGGCAAAAACCATTTAAAGAAGAAAACAAACGAAACTATGTTTTGTTTGGTATCTATCTCAGCTGAATCTGAACTGAACATGCCAGCTTTTGATAGGAATAACAATGCAATACAGGGTTCCAGTGAGAAGTATGACACTGACAGCAATAGAGATCTAAAAGAACAGAGTTTCCTAAGTATGTCTTCTACTGATTTAGAGCTCCAAGCCCTTACAGGAAACATGCTCAATAAAACTGTGTTAGAGAAACAAGATTTTCAGAGACCAGAGTTCAAACAAATGAATTATGTCAGCTCCAAGCAACCTCCAAAGCACAAAGAGCTTGAGTATTCTGGCTCATGGCCATGCACTACGTATAAGGACCAGGAAACACAAACTAGTTTCAGAGAAGAATCCCAAATTCAGCAGCCTCTCCATGGATCGCAGCAGCCTCTCCATGGGCTACAACTTAAGAAATCAAATACACTGACCAATGGCCACTTCTTAAAGTACGGATCATCTACTACAGAATCTGCTCCGAGTAGTTTACCTACTGATAACAGGAAAGATAGACCAATTCCTCCCCCTAGGAAAACTCAGTTTAACAAGTCCAGCAAACTTGAGTGTCCTAGGACTGTGGTCCACTCCAAAACAGGCCAGAATGAATCACGTACTACATCCACAGGGCTTCCTGGGCAGAAAAATGAACCCAGTTTTGCCCGCAAGGAAGAAAATAAATCACCTTGTAGTATCAAAGAAGCCTTTGGGCAATTTCTCTTAAAGCCCGTTAGCCGACGTCCTTGGGATGCAATAAGTGAACTGGAAAGTATTAATAAGGAGATTCAAAAACAAGAAGAAAGGAATGTAGATAATAAAGAGAATGAGCAGAAGCAAGAGAGAGAAGAGGATAAAAAAGTGAACAAGGCAGAGGGAAAAGCATGTAGAGCGGATGAAGTCAGCCAAGACCATGGATGTAGTGCAGAGGCAAGAAAGGTAAAACCAGCCACTTCTGTGTTTAAAAAGGGAACCAATAAAAGTAAACCTGAAAGTGAAAATGCTTCTAAAATCTCAAATACAAGAGTTGTATTTAGTGACCTTAGGAATGTTAGATCAGAGGCAAGAGAAATGGATAAATCAGTGAAGGAAAAAAAGGAAAATGGTCTAAATCAAAGACAGGATAATGCGAGAAAGATTATTAAACAGGCTATCAGTCTGCATCCAATGAAATCAAATGTTTCAGGTCACTCGGACAGTAAAAATTCTAAACCACTCAACAACATTAATTCTAGGGAAGCAAGTGTTGAAAACCATAAGAATAAGGATTCTGATCAGCTGAAAAAGGCAGCAGGCAGGAATAGCCCTGCTTCAAAAATAGCATCTGTAGCATCATTATCTTTTAAAAGAAGGAACCAAGGGTGCTCTGAGCCAAATTTGAGATCTGTTGTCCTGGATGTCAATGAAGGAACCAGCATTCCTGATTCTTCTACAAAGAAGGTTTCATCAAATGAATCTCTTCACGCAAGAGCATCTAGGATCCTGGGCATAGAGGTAGCTGTGGAATCTCTAACAGTTGATAACAAAACTCTTCCTGCCAAAGACTGTGGATCCAATAACATGGCACAGAGCCGTGAACTGTCAAACACAAGGATACCGAGGGCTGAAAAGAAAACAAATGTGGCTTCTTCCAAAGGAAAGCCAAAAAGTGGCTGGTCGAAAAGCACTTTCATTGGAGAAAGCAACTTGGGATCAGTGAAGGATCAGTGTAGTAGTGAAGAAAAGTTGACACGTGAACAGTATTTTCAGCAGCATCCTGATCTTGGCAAACATCAAGAAGACCATGCTCCCTCTCTTGAATCTGCTGTGCTTCCTCTTGCTGAAAGAAAATCGCTCCCCTCGAATGTAGAAAGGAAAACTGAAAGCACTTCAAAGGTAACTGTGCCCAGGCAAGGCAAAGTGGCCTCTGCTGTAAACCGAGCGGCCATGGATCGCATAGCGCGGATGAAAGAAGTCGATTCAGTTTCTCGGATGAGACGTCTCACTATAAAGAACGCCGGATCTGGTGAGGATAGAGATGAAGACAAGCAATTCAAGGAACCAGAAGGGAAAGCAAATGATTCCGCCGTTGGCAGCACTGAATTTCCCCACAAACTGTCCCAAGGCAGTTGTGTTTCCAAGCGTATAATCTCACTGAATGAAAATGAACGTTTAGGCAATAGGAACACAAAGAAAAATGGAAGAGATTTACCTAGCTCAGGTAAGATACAAGTTTCTTCAGGATTTGTATGGTGAGCGTATTATTGGGAGATGCGTACATATTTTCCTAGAAGGGTCTTAAAAAGAAAATGTAATTTCCTTTCTGAGTCTTAGGTCTGAATTCTGCAGTTGCATTTTCTTTTTTGGCAAGCAAACAGGAGATAATCAATAGTTAGACAGGTACCCTACCAGATAAACCAACTGTTTTGGGTTTGTTTATTTGTTTGTTTTTTTGGTTTTTTTTACAGGTATACACCATTATAAATACCCTAGAGTGGAAGATGCTGTAATTCTGAAGAAATTTGCTATCTTCCTTTCCACATGCTCAGTCTTATGTTTTTAAACTCAAATAACTTCCTAGTTTTGCCTGTAATGTTCACCCATCATGCTTTCCAGAAAGGAATAGAGAGAAGAAAATATTTGGGATCATCTGGGGCTTCATTTAAAGTAAAAACAATTGCCCCACATGCTGAATGTGAGATCTCATAAAAACCAAGTTCTCCATTTTCATATTTTTGTAGAACTATTAGTTGCCTTCAGACTCTTTGTGTAAATGTCTAAAAGCTGAAGGTTCTTTTAGAACCATTCTTCCAAATGGTTCCATATAATTTTGATTCTTTTTATTATTGCTTATTTCATATTGTTTATTCCAGCAGTGGTTCCATATTTCTTTTGAGCAAGGAAATCAGTTAATTTAGCTTAGTTCTTTTAATTATTTAGTGTATAAGAATTGTTTTAATCTGATCTTCCATCATTCCTAGCAAGATGACTAAACATCACAGAGAAGATGGGAGGTGGAATCTTAACATTCCTGGCAGACAACAAATTGGGGAGGATGCCTTAGAAACTTTGTTGTGTATTAGCCAGATATTCCATTTGGGGTTTGAACAAAGGTGAGGGATTCCAGTTACATGAGGGAGGCGAGATTGAGAGCAAGATTCAAAGGTGTGCTCCAAACAAAATGTTTTAATGACATGTGCTTTAATTAATTTCCTTACGTCTTTACAGTCTGTTAGGTAATGAATAATCATATGTAATCTAAAATATGGGGTGAGTTTTTCTCTTTTCCCCAATGATGATCCTGTTACAAAGACATATTTTTAAGGAATGACTTCTAAGGTAACTATAAAAAGTAGCTATAATTTTAGAATGAGACAGTTGCCTTCCAGAAAAGCCACAATGCAGAGATTGTGTCTATTTACACAGTGTGTTGTGTTTTAAGAATTCTCTGGATCCTTTAAATATTTTTTCATTCTGCTATCCTTATCAGCAGGCAAACTTTAATATTTTTTGTTGACATTCCTTAGTGGTAAAATAAAAGCATATATTTACTTGTCAACAAAATGCTTTAGTATAAATTTTTGTGATTTTAATTTTTTTTTCATGCTTACAATGGCTCTTTAATATAAATAGAATATAGAAGCATAAGAAATAATAAAAATCTTATATAGATATAATTGTTATGAATTGCTAGTACTAATAATCATGCTCGCTTCCTATTTTACAGAGGTCTATGATCCGAGCCAGGTTGAAAGGGTGTGATACAAAAAGAGCTGGATTTCAAGAGATTTCAAATCTTTGTGAGGCATTTTACTAAGTGGCACCATGTGGAAATACCCTTAAGCCTCAATGTTTAGAGAGTGTTGGTAAAACATCTTACCTGCTAGAGGAGGAAAACAAGTCTTTATAGAGAATGTATGCTTTCTGGAACTTGCATGAAAGAGTGTGTGTATATGTGCGCACGCAAAGATCTCTTAATCTGCAACCATCTATTTTTCAAAGCAATAAGATTTAATGCCTCTACTTGGCATGGATTGGTCACTTTTAAACTGAATTGAATAGTGTTCAGTCAGAATGGTAAACAGAATTTGGGAGGGGCTCAGGGAAAGGGTTGCTTATTTCTCTGTAAAAAATGTAAACAGGAGAGATTAAGAAAATTATTTTTGAAGAAAGAATGTGAATTTCTAAGTTAAATATCCAAACTTCTGAACTCTCAGCCTTGTTGAACATTGGCCATAAAACGGGTTGCAAGAGAACCACTGTTGCCTTTTCAGTTCAAGGGGATGCCTAACAACAGGACTGAATGCCAACTGACCAACTGTGAAATCAATTGGGACTTGGTCTGAAACGGCTTTGAATGGAATTTCTTCCTTCTTGCATGTCAAGACTATGCAGACAAATGGCATCCTTGGAGGAGGTGAACCCAAAATATGGCAGATCATTTTGCCGCCTCTGACCTCTGATCGAGTCAAACCAGCATCAACTCCACTTTGACCGCTGTCCTACCCTTGCTGTTGTGTAGTTCATTCTATTTCCTTTTTCTCTTTGTAGTTTGGGCTCAACATTCTATGCACCACCAACTCACAACAACATCCTTTTCTAATCTAAGCAACCTTTTTGCAAAATGTGATGTAATTTTCTATAATGTAGGCAGTTTACCAGTTCTTTCATTGGTAAGGTCCCCCCCCCTTCTGCTCTTCTTAGGTGAGTTTTTTAAAGAAACTAGTTAAGAAACTAGTTATTTGTGCATCTTCTACACATTTCACATTAGCTTCTCTCTACAGCTGCCATGCTGTGTATCTTAATATTTGATTCTGTGTCTATAAATAATCTTATAAAGGAGGTACCTAAATCTAGACAGGCTTAAATTTCTTATTGCTTGGATTGGTCCTTTTAGATGAGGATGTTGCTGGAGTTGGTTCAACTGATTACTTTCTACCAAGTTAGTTGCCAAAAATTAAAAAGATCAGTTTAGTATGTTTGCATCCTTAAGTATGTAAATTTTGTTTCTAGTGGTGCAAATACTGAAGCCTTGTACTACAAATGTACTCATTAATAGAAATAGGAATCCTTTGCCACTATTTAATTCTTGGAGAAAATCTGGGACCATCCCTATGTAATAACAAGGGATAATGCTTGTTTTCACTTGCCTTGATGGCAACTCTAGCAATAAGCAACAAAATAATATGTAATTTCAGTCATTGATGCTCAGTGCCATTTATATGTTGATGTGATTTGTGCCTATATTTGAAATTCTTGAGCCAGATTTATAAGCACCCATCTTGGTACAGAAACTCAAAGAATTGCCCTGCCTTTATGTTTGAATGTTGTATTTATACCTGTTTTGTTTAATGGCAATCCATATAGGATCCATACTTGTAAGCACAAAAAGAGTTATTTTTGTCACTTAAAAAATATTTTATGTTGGATTTAGGGCAAACCTTATTCATTTCTCCAGGAGTAATAGCAGTTTAATTTACTCAATGTTTATGTATCTGTTATTCTTTATTTGCTAATATACTTCTGGAAATAGCATCCTACCTGCTTGTTTTGTGTCTTTTTGTTATTCTATCAAAACCATATTACCTATTAAGTATTTCAGATTAATGGATATACACAGAGATAGATATGTAATGATACACACATTTACACCCAAATAACTTTTGTTATTTGGCAAAATAGCCTGCTTCCCCCCCCCCCCAGCAGCTATAATCCCTTATTTATAACCTCTGCCATTAGAAACTTATCTAATATTTAAAATTTATTATACATTAAGCAAAGTAATGTATAGTTTCTTACTTGGGTTTCTTCCCAATTCTATTTTGTATTTCCAGCAATTAAAAGATACCAGTTTTTTGCTTCTAATCAGATTTTACCTGGTTAAAAAAAGATTGTTCAGTAAAAGGATCCTAGATATTTTTGTTTTTTGATCCTTTGGAAACAGTTGACATGGATACATTATCCATTGTCATTCAGGTGCTAAGTGTTAAGTGTGTACACAAGGTATATTCACAAACATTATTCGGCTTGGATCCAATGCATTGTTTTTCAGCATGCTGGTTGGAGAATTTTGGGAGCAGAAGTCCACACATCTTAAAGTTGTTGATGTTGGGAAACACTGATCTAATGATTTTACTGGGGACAGGAAATTCCCAACGGAGTTATAGGTAGTCCTCACATAATGACTGGTCGCTTTATTTATGTACAAAGGCCACAGAATGGGTGTTTTTCAGCCTACAAAGCAACCCTGGCTATTAAAAAGAGTTGTGGTGCCCCCCCCCCAAAAAAATCATATGAATGCATGCTAGATGGGTTAGCTTTACAACTGGTTGTGGTATTCTGCAGGAACGTGATGGTGACTTATGTCTTTGACTAGTTTCCTGCAAAAAGACACCCCTTCAAACAAATGGATTCACTTAATGACTGTCACATTTACTTAATCACCACTGAAAAATCTGAAAAAATACTTCCCATCAACAAGTGTATATTGATTTATGACTACAACAACTTGTGATTACTTCTGGGCTCATTTAAAATCATAAATTAAGAACTATCTGTACAAGGACAATAGTAGACATGTCTCCTTGTTTATTTTAAGTAGCCCAAACCCTAATAAATCAAGTTACTGAAAATAAGTTACAAAAAAACCTTTTAATATTAACTGCCCATTTCCTCCAGAAAGGGAGGATAATTTGCAATCCATACCATGTAGGTGAAAGAAAAAACATACACTTCCTTTTTATGGTATTTATCCCCCATGAAAACAGCTTTCTTGCATCTAACAGGCTTTGTATTATGTCACTAGAACCGGTAAAGTAGCGCCATCATGTCAACAGGATGAGGCCAGTTTATATTTTCCTTAGTGCTTTCAACAGGGAAATAAAAGCAAATTCTGGAAAGGATCTGAGATGGGTATGTTTTAATTAGATCCCAGGATTTTGCTCAGATACTGGCATAAGATCGCATTTCTTGATTCATACAACTCACTGCTTAATCTCATAATTTTGGCTCTTGGGATTTGCAGAATGTGTGGAAAATAACACCATAAAGTTTAATGTTTTCTTGATAGGATTTTGCATTTTTTTGTTGAGAGTCAAAGTCGTAATAGTTAGTCCATCAAACCTTTATGCAAATAGAGCAGATAATATTTGTAACATAAGATAAACTATTTTAACATCCATTTTTCTAGAAAAAAAAACAGGCATTCAGCATCTCCCCTTAATTTCTACTACTCAGAGAAAGGGGGAGGAGATGACACAATAACCCTATTGAGAATAATTCTTCCCTCCCATGTTCTTGCAAAGAAAATATTCTGGTTCATATTTAGCAAAACAATTATATATTGGGAATAGGAAGATTGGCAGTTACGCTTAGTCTTCAAAGATAAAGGAACTGAACTCAAACTTCTGGTATCTAAGTGGATGTATCCATAAATACTGGTTAAATGTCTACAGCCACTAAAGAAAACCAGATGCCCCTTATTGCTTATTGCTTTTATGTGTTCAGTTATCTGTTAGTCCTCTCTATAAAGGAGTGGAACAAATGCTAAATTCCATAATCTTTGGTTTTCAGATAATAAGGAAAGTCCTGTTTTACAAAACAGCCTCCCACCCGTTGTGTACAACATGTTGGCAACATTGTTAAGACAGTCAGAGCAAAGGGCTGGGGAACAGTTAAAGAAACACCATATTTTAAAAGGGAAATTATATGGCAGAAATTAGGAATAAACATGGCATCCACCAGCCAAAAAAAATCAGTATAAGATTATGTTTATGAAACCAATTAGGAATTTTCCATCCTGGGCAGCAAACAAACCCCAAAACATATTGGTGACAATAACTAGATTAAGAATGTGGAAGGCGGTCTCTGTACTTATATCTTGAAGCAAAACAAGCTATTTCCACAAGGGAAAATTTTCACATAGGTGGCACTGTTTTTCATTGTCAAAAATAATGGCTGGAGGTACCAATGGAAGGCTAGAGCTGGAGGGTTTTGTAAGGTTAGGGGAAAGAAAAAAAGAAGCCACACAATCACACAAACATTGGAATAACAATATAAAAGGGATTATTACATGTCTCTTTGTTTTCTTCTGAAATCTAAACATAGCCAACTAGGACTACCCATGAAAAGATGGAAGGCATTTTTGTTCACCTGTTTATAGGCAGCTATCAAAGAAGCTCCTAATACAAGCAAAAGTCAAAAAAGACTCTCTTGTCCCCAGTCTAGATGATGAGTGCAAGATAGCAAGACTTCAAAAACAAACTTATAATCTGTTAACACCTATAAAAAGTGATCTTCCCTGAGAGTTTTATAGCCTGGCATTTGACAAATGAGAACAAGGAAAGAGAAGAAGGCAACCAAACAGGAGATTTATGTATGTATTTATTTATGTATGTTGTGTATGCATGTATATAGATAGATATTGAGGCTTAGACTAGAATAGAGGTTGGCAGAATGTCTGGACTCTGGACAGATTTTTGGCAGATCAAAAATTCCTAAAAGAAGGTAAATTGATCTCTGCATGTTCTTTTTTTCCAGTGTAGTTTGATCTTTAGGAGCCCACAGCAATTACAAATAAATATGGTTGGGCCTTTGCTTTTCAGTGTGCCTGCTTCCAATCTTTTTCTAAGAATGTAAAAAAGAAGTGAAGGCAGGACACTAATGGGTACCAAAGGTTGCCTGCCTCTGTCCCTTGCAGAAGGGTCTAAGGCAATGACAGCAAAACCTTTGCTCTTGATGTGTCAAAAAATCCAGTGAAACTACCTCACTTGACTCTACTGGCAAAAGAGAAATAATTCTCTTATCTCCTCACATCTAGGCCACCCTGAGCAAGCATTTGGTTTCAGTACTTGGTTGCAGCACCAAGACTGGGCCAAAAACCCAGCCCCTCTACTTTGGCCTTAGTGCCACCATGTGAGCCTTGGAGAATGACACAATTTTCCCTCAGTCCAGAGCTCCCAAGATCAGACTCTTTGGGCAGCCTTTTCTTTCTGTTCACATGTCCCCATTGCCTAGCCAAGGCTGTTGTAGATCCTACAAGATATACAGATATACAGATTTAACAGTTGGAAGGGACCTTGTAGGTCATCTAGTCCAACACCCCACCAAAGCAGACCAAGCAGAAAGATCTTTCCAGCTTTGGAGAATGCTCTCCATGACCTTTGTGGCCTCCAAAAGCCACGCAACAGCATGACCAATTCTCACACGATTTTTAGAGGCTCAGTCAATAAGAACAAGACAAGCTTTTGAGAATAGTTGTTGGGTGTTGGTAAAATGCTGGCACATCACCCAAAATGCCATGGTGTATCCCAGTGGTGGGTTTCAAAATTTTTTACTACCAGTTCTGTGGGTGTGGCTTGTTGAGCGGGGCATGGCATGGTGGGCGTGGCTTGGTGGGTGTGGCTTGGTGGGTGTGGCAGGGGAAGGATACTGTAAAATCTCCATTCCCTCCCCAATCCAGGGGAAGGTTACTGCAAAATCCCCATTTCCTCCCAATCAGCTGGGACTTGGGAGGCAGAGAATAGATGGGGGCGGGGCCAGTCAGAATTTTTAATACTGGTTCTCTGAACTACTCAAAATTTCTGCTACCGGTTCTCCAGAACTGGTCAGAACCTGCTAAGGGGACTGGTGTGTCCCCTTTGACACATGTCATAGATTCACTATCACTGGTCTAGGAAATAGTGGTGTATGAGAAATAATGTTTCTCAGAGAAATACTATGTTTTGAAGAGGGATCTGAGGGAAGAAAAGGTGTGCTATGAATTCTGAAGCACAACTGCTTCAGAGCAGTTGAAAGATACAGGTATCCCTTGACATACGACTAGAATAAAACCTGCTCATGACATCATGTGGCAAATCAGGTTGGTCACATGACCGACTAGATTTTACTACCTTTTTTGCAGCAGTCATTAAGTGAGTGTGGTAATCATAAAATGAATGTGATGATCATTAACGTAACAGTTGTTAAGTACATCCATTGCTATGGCATTGTTTTGCCAACAATTTAATGTCCAGGATTTAGGAAAAAACATTGTAAAATGTGGCGTCATAACCATGGGATGCTACAAATGGCCATAAATGTGGCCATGTTGCCAAGTGCCTAAAATATGGACATGTGACTGAGGGGGAGGGGTGATTGTCAAAATTTTAGAATCAGGTTGTAAGTTTGACCTTTCCAGGCAGGCTGCACTTTCCAACTATGAAATTGGTGGTAAGTTGAGGACTTGTACTTTCACACACAATGAAGAGGAAAGCATAGAGGCATTTTAGGGCAGAAACTAGTGAAGAGACAGGCCAAGAGGTGTTGAAATAGGAGAGAAGGAAGACATAATGTGTTTGTCATTCCTTCCCTCTCTTCCAGTAACCAGAAGATCTCTCTTCTTTCTGTAACATCTTTTGCCATATTTTTGCTAGGAAGGCAAAGGAACATATTCCGCCCACCCCCCAAAATGGGCAAAGAGAAACAGAACAATGAAAGGGCCACTTTATGGCAGGATTAAGCACAGTGGTACCAACTCTTCTTGCCCTCATACATACTTCCT